TTAAGTTACATCAAGTCTTAAAACCAAACAGTATAGTCCCTTTATTTCCTAAAAATCAAGTTACTCTTTATCATCTGTATTAAGTCCTTCTGCAAAGGAATAAAAGAATCTATATAAAATCAGTTAAGCTGTGAGAAACAGAGAGTAAATGAGCAGTCACAACACTGTGTCAACCACTGCAGCAGCTAAATGTAATGGCACATGATGACCTGGAAGAGCACATTCATGTTGACGGCCTCCACCATCATTTTGTCCAGGAGAAGACAAGCCCCACAGACTGCTCCTACATACAACATAATTAGTGACAACATGGAAAATTCTAGAACCGTGATATTAGTTTTTTAGGTACATTATTAAAATCCGAGATATTGCTGTCTCGCTGCACTTCCAACATGACTGTGTTAAAAATTAGCTTTCAGTGGACACTGTTATTGTGTTACATAAAGTTGTCCATTAAAAACGTACTCATATATTGTTAAAGGCTATTGATGCATGTTGAGGTAGAGAGAAATCTTATCAAATGCTACTATTTGTATCTTCTGAATGTGTATAAAATAATGTTGCAGATACTAACTACTACACATAAAATAGACAAACAAGTTTCTGCTGTAGAGTACAGGGATCTATACTCAATATCTTGTAGTAACCTATAATGAAAAAGAATATATGTGTATATGTGTGACTGTAGCATTATGCCATACACCAGGAACTGACACAGCATTGTAAACTGACTACACTTCAATAAAAAGAAAAATAATGCCAGATCAAATAAACTGTGTTAATCTATGTCTTGATAAGAAATCTGTTATTTTCTTCAATCTTGAACCACCACCAAAGAGTGTGTTCACTTTAACGCACAATCTATGTATTACTTTTTTAGAAATGCTAAAATTTGTATGAATCACATCAATATGATAGAATGTTTTCAGTGATTCTCAAAATATGAATAGTAAATTATCCATTGAATGCCCAACAATGGCTTTGATTTTTTTTTTGAATTCTCTCCAATTTTTTTGACCAAGACTCTACTAGAGAGTAAAATGAGCATTAAATACACATTAAGTACACATTCAAGACACCAGATTTGGCAGAAAATATTTTTAGTGAATATGAAAATTAGACAGTCACCTAGTAAACTCAGGCAAAACCACCGAACAGAAGTTTTCTCAAATGCTGATGGAAATCTAGAATTTGGGTGGCTGATTTTTCGTTGGGCCAGGAGCCAGAGAAGGCTGAGGACAATAATCTTCAAAGTCCCCAACTTATATTTGGTGGCAAAATAACTGGTGCTTTAACAAAAATTTTAAAGAAAAGCAATTATTTGAACTCAAAGCATTATTTTTCTCTTTAAATTGTTTTCACTTAAATGTTAAGATTTGCCTCTTCTAAGAAGTCAAATGAAGAGCAAGAGCAGCTGTTTTTTCTTTGAACATGGGAATGGCTTTTACAGTAGTTATAAGTTTGATTCTATCCAGAGACAGACTCTCCCAAGGGAAGATTTATCAACCAAGTCAGTATCAACCACAAATATTCACAAACAGCTGTCAAAACCGTTGTTTATCAATAATAATCCAATGACATCTGCTCTGCCCCTTCCAATGGGGTGGGGGCAGGAGCTCTGAACTCTTATTTCTTTCCCTACATGCTTTGCATATTTGGTCCCTGGGCTTACTCATTACGGTAATCAAAAGAGAACTGGAAGATGGAGGGAGAACATCGATTACTTTGGGAACGGCCGATAGTTAACAGAGGAAGAAAACCAGGCAACAGGATCGCCAGGGAAGTGAAAGAAAAGAGACAAAAATAGTATAGGGGCGTCATGTTAGCAAAATGTGCAAAGAGAAGGGACAATACAGAGGAGGTTACGTGCGTGCAGGAGGTGGAGAGCAGAAAAAAAGAGTTTAAAATATGACACTGTTTAGAGCCTATAACCCACTTTGGCAATTTCTTGAGATGCTTAGTTTTTCACTTACTTATTTGCCCCCTGGACTCTGATTTCTCTGGCTGAGATGATTCACAGAAATGAGTGGGCAAACCATACGTCAACCTTTTTTTTTCTTTTAATATAATTTATTCTGATGTAACTTAATCTAGGCTTTCCTTTTAATATAAACAACACTGGAAAACACAATGTTTGCCAAAGATCCACTGATTCTCTTTGAAGTTTCTTTTTTAAGCATGTATTTTTTTAAAAATTGAAGTAGAGTTGATTTACAATGTTGTGTTAGTTTCTGGTGTACACAGTGATTCAGTTATACACATACACTTTTTTTATAATATGTATCCTTTTTCAGATCCTTTTCCATTATCGGTTATCACAAGATACTGATATAGCTCCTTGTTGTTTACCTATTTTATATCTCGTGATGTGTGTCTCCTTTTTAGCCTTTGTTCAGATTCTGGGCCCATTATCATTATGCCCTCCTCACTAGGTTCTAAAACAGAGAAATTAGGAATAGCAAAGTTTTGATGAATGAAGACGGGGAACCAAGGCCCTGGCTACTCATCCAAGACAGAGAACGAGACAGGAGGAAGGTGAACGGAAACATGAGGCCAGGAAGGACACAAGACCTAACCCACCATCTAGAAGCTGGTCCAGCTGACACCCATCGAACCACCCTCTATCCTATCACACTCCCGTCCTCCACACAAATATAGGATTTAGGTCTGATTCCTGCACTGCAAACATCCTGACTTGATTCTCAGCCACTAAATCATTTCCTTTCTTGCAACCCCGGCTGACCCAGCTCCACCCAACTTTGTGTACCACATGTCCTAGGAACATCTCCACGAAGCAGCCACCACCCGACCACACCCGTGCCTTCATCCCTAGATCTTCCGCACGTTCTTGTTCACCTGCAGACTCTGAACACCTGCAGCCATCTACCCGTGTCTGGGGCATCTGATGCCAACGGCACTTTCCACCAGGCAAAATATGCCTTCGCAAAACACAAAACTCACGGCGAGGTCAGCTCCAGCGCTCACGGAAGAGTCATTCGGACCGTGAGAGTTCATGTCCCAAGAGACTCTTTAGCAAACTTAAATGTTTGCCTTCGTGGAGAAAGTTCAAGGCAAATTCAGTCGAAAGGAAGTTCAGATGAGAAAATACCCGCAGTGGATCGGAACCTCATGCCGTGGCCCGATGCTGCGTCCTGGGGCCCTGGCTGGTCTGTAATGGTTTGCCTTCATCTTCACTGCATGCAAACCAGGGCTGATTAAATGCATTTTCTGTGATGGTGAATTAGATTTTGCAAGATGTTTATGAATTCGCAGACTTGGCTGGGGACTAAAAGCCCCTGCCCTGGACACTCCACTTGCAGGATTCATAAATCAGGTGGCTGAGCCTGCCTACGTCTTCCAGATGCAGCTACAAACGTTCTCAGTCAGCCCAGCAGCGGAAAGGAGGCGGCGACCTTAACATACTCACATCCAGGTTTTAAAGGCCATCACTAAAGCTCTCGTGCACGTGAGTGAAATATGTTTAAAAACTAGAATTTTACCCTCTCCCATCCTAATCCCCTTATATAATATAATTTGAAGCCATAATGGTCTTGGGTTAAACAATCAAGGAAAAAGTAGCTTCATTTCAAGTTTTTTGCACACGTTAGGATTAAGGTACAAATTCTATTTTTTTCCCCATTATTCCTTAACTAAATCTATATAGGGGAGATGTCAGGTAAGTGATTTTAATCGTGTTACTCTATTGACTTTTAATTTTTAAAAATATTTTAGACATTTCTCAGCAAGGCTCTCAGTGCACTATTCTCTGCAAAGTACCACTGAAATTGTTTTTCTACTCTGATGATTAAAACCTTGGTGTCATAAAGACATTCCTTTTGCTGTACTGATTAGAGTTGTAAATTAATTTTATAACCTTAACATCCAGTTTTAGCATCCTTAAAAATCTATCTCCCATATACTACGTAACTACCATTATCAATAAAATAAGTCATATATATTCAATATATTAGTGTGATAATTATAATACACTAGTAGTATAATGCCTATATTTAATACTTATAATATTTATATATATATGTGTTTGTATAGTATATATAAATACATGTATATATGCAGTATATGTATTTATAACATAAATATAATATAGTATATATTATATATATAATACGATTCCTTTAGCTCTTAAATATCTTATTTCTGTTTTTGTCATTCTTTGGGGTTTTTTAAACTCTTGAATAGCTTGTTTCTGTTTTTGTCATTCTTATTAATAAGTTTCAGAACAAGTTTTACAACCAAATGGGGTTTATGCCTTGATGGCACTTTGTTTGGCCATTAATCATGGTAACTATGGCAATTTATAAATTAACCACAGTAAATAGAAAATGCATCTTTTTGAAGAACAATAAATATAACTAATTTTATCTTACCTTTTACTCATGATATTACCATTGAAACCATTTTGCAAAGCATCATTTTAGTTCATTTATTGAAAAAAATTATCATCCCATTCTTATTTTATTAAAAAAATTTCCAGTGTTTGGAGGAATTTCCAAATTGACAATAAAAATAAATTCAAAAAAGGAATACTATTTCCAGACTAACGTTTTCTGTGGATCAAAACTGGCTTTGAACTTTAAGCTAAAGTGAAATATGTCAAGTGAAGTTTATTTTGGACAATTAGTTATATAGTCATCTCAGAATAGAACATGCAGATGTGTTTCAATTATATATAATGTCTTTTGGTTTCCCTCATTTTATTATAATTACCAATATTGAATCTGCAGCTGTCACAGTGACCCATTAAATTTCTTGGGAAGTCCATTAACTGGAAAATCCAGTCAAAATAAATATAAGTCAAAATCAACTCTCGTTTCAATTAATGTTAGTTCACTGAAACTTCAAATATATAAAACATATAAATATTTTTGCTTTTATACAGAATCATGTATCCGCTTTACTAAGGGATGTTGACTTGATATCAGAGAAGAGAATACAATTTTAGATGTGCGTTGTACAATCCACCAAGCACACGGTCTTACCTAGTGACCTCACCTTCAGAGGCTGCATCTCAAAGTCTTTCACTGTCACACTGTTTTGCATTTTCAAAATGGGATGCTGATGCAAAGACAGCAAAAGGAAAAAGGAAGACAGAAGATTAGAAAGAAGAAGAAAAAAAATTTTATAGTTCCTGATACATCAAGTCATCAAAAGTAATCATTTCTAATACTTTTCACTTTAAAATTCATCCTCTTTTCTTCCACACCTCCCTGTAGGATTCCTTCCTCATCTTTGAAAGAAGGAGGGGCAGAGAGGGTCTGGGATTCCACGAACGAACATTCCAAACTGCTGACAAACCACAAGCCAGAGGAAAAGTTTGGTGTCAGCGTTCGTCACAGTAAAACATTAAAACCTCTAACAAAAACGTAATTGTTTACTTGTATGCCACATGTCTCCGTGCTAAGAAATGTTCCAGAACAGATATAACTTACTATCCAATAAGGAAATGTCCAGGGACCATCTGGCTAGCTCTCATTTAAACGTGTTAAGGCAGATTGATCCTCGATCCTGTAAGTAAACACTTCCAAAAATATTTTTAAATTCCCCCAACAATTTAGTTATTATTTTGTTGTGAGTTTTTGACCCTTTTATAGTTTGTTGATGCTAATAGCAGAAACAAGGTTGATCTCTCTGCTAGCTCTTTGGAGTGCATGAAGAAAGATCTCTCTACTCTGTCCAGGCAATAAAGACAAATGTGCGTTTATCACCTACTATAGCAACAATCAATTCTGTAGGAAGATATAAAAATGTATTGTGATCAAAAAACACAAGGAAAAGGTATGAATGACTATTATAAGGGAGAAACTGCATAAAGGACAGAAAAGACAAAGCTTTATATGAGCTCAAAAGAGGAACATATAAATTTTTCCCCAAGGGCGTCAAGATGATTTTATAACGCAGGTGCCAGTTCCCGGGGCCTCCAGAGCGGTCAGGATGTGATCGAGTGAGAAAAGCAGACCCCTTCCAGCAGAAAGAACCAAAAAGGAGGGAGACAGAATGTGAAATGAGTCATCCTGAGAACACAAGACGCCCTAAATCACAAAATCTTCAAATGCTGACAAATACTTTAAGCACTGTGGTCAGAGGTCCTTTTTAAAATGCTAATTAAGGGGGAGGGTATAGCTCAGCGGTGGAGCACAGGCTTGGCATGTACAAGGTCCTGGGTTCAACCCCAATACCTCTATTAAAATAAATAAACACATAAAAACCTAATGATCTCCTTCCTCAAAAACTTTTTTAAAAAATTTTTAAATTAAAAAATGAATAAAATGCAAATTAAATATCTGAGCATCCAGTATCAATCATTTAAAACAAAAGTCAGTAAAACATAAACCTTTTCTAAGTGTCTGACTCGACTACCGAGCACGAAAAGTCACGGGTGTTCCCTGGACTGAGCGCAGCAAAACGAACGAGGGTCAGCAGACAGTCCTGACACGGGTCCTCCGTCCACTTGCTGGGTGGCTGGAGGGAAGTCACTGGACCCTCTGGGTCTCACCTTGAGAACAGAGACAGTCAAGCTGCTCCCTTGTTGTCCCATGGTTGTTGGGGGCATTTGAGAAGATGGAATTCTAGAGGAAATAAACACTTCCAAAAATGTATTAGTCAGTAACAAGGTTACATGTGAACAGACACTATGCAGCATATTGAAAAGTAATGCTTGCCTCCCTTAGTGTTCACACACACACACAGAAGTGTTTGATCCTTTGCTTTTTCTTCTCTTTTTTTGAGAAGAGAGTGATGGCGATCATGGATCTGGATGTGCTGAAGGAACAGGTCTTTCCACGGCTCCAGGAAGGTTCTCACAATGTGGTCCCCCATCAGAAGGGAGCTGTGTCCTTCCGTGAAACCCTGAAGGCCCAGCGTGAACATCTCCCAGGGTTCGAGACCGGCCGCTTTAGTCAAAGCTTTGATGCCCTCTGAATCAGATCCCTAGATCCCCAGCCACACAGTGAGACTCCACATCTCGATATCAAGAACCGTGTGTGTTTCCTGTTCTTCTTTGCAGCCTTGAGGACACAGAGGATTCATTCCATTTCATTTCAGCCATCAATGGCTGGTGAATTTGGTGCAGGTTCGATGTGTGGGATGTGACGTGAGAGGCGCAGGTGGAATGCTTTCTTATTCTGCGTCACGTTTTTAAAAATGTTTTTTAAATCATCTTGTCATGCAGCAGGTATGAAATTATTTGAAGAGTATAAAGTAGTATCTAGTTGTATGTTATTACTATCTAACTTGTAGAATTCTTCAAGGAACAAAAAAGACTTAAAAATTTTTTTTAAAAAGTATAAAATCCTGTATCATAGACTTAGTAATAAAAATAAACTGTGAAAAGACAGCTGCACCCCAATATTCATAGCAGCACCATATACAACAGCCAAGACATGGAAGCAGCCTAAATGTCCATCAACAGATGACTGGATAAATAAGATGTGGTGTATTTATGCAATGGAATAGTACTCAGCCATTAAAAAGAATGAAATAATGCCATTTGCAGCCACATGGATGGACCTGGAGATCATCAACCTAACTGAAGTAAGCCAGAAAGAGAAAAAAGAATACCATATGATATCACTCATATGTGGAGTCTAAAAAAAGAAAAAGGAAGACACTAATGAACTCATCTATAAAACAAAAACAGACTCACAGACATAGTAAACAATCTTATGGTTACTTGGGGGGAAAAGGGGTGGGACGGGATAAATTGGGAGCTCGAGATTTGCAAATATTAACTACTATATATAAAATAGATAGACAACAAGTTTTTTTCTGTACAGCACAGGGAACTATATTCAATATCTTATAGTAATCTAGAATGAAAAAGAAAATGGAAAGGAATATATGTGTGTATACGTATGACTGAAACACTATGCTCTACACCAGAAATTGACACAACATTGTAAACTGACTAGACTTCAATAAAAAATAAATAAAGCGATATGGTCATGAGGGTAAACGTTCACAGTAGGTCTACATCCTCCTTTTTATTAAATCAGTGGCACAGTTATTTCTTATTAAACAATTACTTCTTACATGATTGTGGATATTAACAAGGGGACTTTTTAAACACTCACTGTCTGTTACCTACATTATTTTGTATCCATGCTTTAATTATATAGACTTTTGATGAAAAAAAAATGTTTGGATGCGCGTCTCCTAGGTTTCACTCCTTGATCACGGGATAGCAGTGATGTTCACCTTCCTCCTCCAAACAACCATCTTTCCCAGAATCTGTAAACGACACCACCGCAGGCCAGCTCCCACCAGCTGTACAGCTGGGACACAAGACAACGTGCAGCATAATCTCTTCTGCCACATCTGCTCGGCCTCTCACATATTTAACTAAGCTTTCATCTCCGAAGTGCAAAGATAATGATTTCCAGAAGTCACTGCAAGAAACAGGACCATCCACTGGAGGACACGGCCGCTACAGATCTGCCTGACTTTCAGACGGTGAGCAAAAGTGAAAAAAATTTCCAAAAAGAAGGATTTGTGAGATGCTACAGGAAGTATGTGTTTTATCGCTGAATTTTTGTCTTCGGGAATGAAAATCCCACAAGGGCAGGGAGCACGCTGTTCAGCCATCATGCCAGTGAGGTGAAGGGCTCCGCGGGCAGCCGGAGAGAGAACACAAAACCTGTCCAGTAGACAGAGGAGCCTCTCGCAGGGACAAGGTCCTGGCTTGGGCATAGGGCTGCCCACGGTCCCAAAAGAACGAGAGAAAGAATGCTTTAACAAAGGAGCGTTAGTTTAAATATTTTTGTTCACCATATTAAGATCTCATTATCATCCTGCTAAAACATGTGAGATAATTGAACTTCTTCTTCATAATTAAACAAATAAAAATAGTTCTTGATCTGCTCAGCATTTGCCAATGTTGTTAATTTTGTTTCCAGCCTGTCATAACATTTGGAAATTGCCTAATCTTTTTTCTTTTCACCCATTCTAGATGACATGGTTACGACAAAATGAACAAATAATTACTAGTAGGTCCTTGATTTGTGACACATAATGAAAAAGATATCCCTGTCCATGAGAACAGGGAAAAATTCATAAACAGCAGGGACAGACTTGATCGTTATCCTGTTAAAACACATAACTTGTAAAATTAGAACCATTCATTTTAAAGATGACACCCTTATATCAATATTTCACTGTGTCCATGATGTTAACCCTTACTTTGTGAGGATTCCCATTACAATAATTAACTTATTTAATATATACTATGAGCAAAACACTGTGTTAAGAGCTTTACTTGCATTAATTTTTTTTTAGCTTTTTAAACTTTTTATTAGGGAAAGATTCAACAATATACAAAATTAAAATGATGTCATGAGCTCCCATGTGCCTCAGAACCACCCTCTACAAACTCATGGCCAGTCTAGTTATATCTATACCCCGACTTGTCTCCTCACATCTGTACTATTTTGAAGTAAATCCTGACCTTCATGTGAGTTCATGACTAAATACTTCAGTATGGAATGTCTAGAAGAGTAGGATTTTTTAAGCAGCACCATATTATATAACACTCAAAACAGCCTTATGAAGTCAGTCCTATTAATTCTCCAGCTTCCCAGATGAGAACACTAGCTCTCAGAGCACGTAGAGAAGTGCAGCATCTCATCCAATGTGCCCCACGGGTGTGTAACCTGCTGGTGATTCAAACACAGCTCTGTCTGAAGCCAAAGATGCTGTATGTCTGGAGGGAGCTCTAATCCGAAAAGACGCCTGCACCCCAATGTCCACAGCAGCACTATTTACAATAGCCAAGACATGGAAACAACCTAAATGTCCATCAGCAGATGACTGGATAAAGAAGTTGCAATATATTTACACAATGGAATACTACTCAGTGATTAAAAAAAAAGAATAAAGTAACACCATTTGCAGCAACATGGATGGACCCGGAGATCATCATTCTAACTGAAGTAACACAGAAAGAGAAAGAAAAATACCATACGATATCACTTATATGAGGAATCCAAAAAAAACCCACACACACATACAAATGAACTTCTTTATAAAACACAGACTCACAGACACAGAAAACAAACTTATGATCACC